TGTTGGTGGGTCAAAAGCGGACTGGTGTCACCTCTCCTCCGGGTAAAACGAAACATTTCCAGACATTGATAATCTCCGATGAGCTTACCCTATGCGACTGTCCCGGGTTGGTATTCCCTTCGTTCTCGAGCTCGAGATACGAAATGGTTGCTTGTGGTGTGCTTCCGATTGACCGGATGACTGAGCACCGTGAAGCTGTTCAGGTCGTGGCTGATAGGGTCCCGAGAAATATCGTCGAGAATGTCTACAACATCACTCTCCCTAAACCGAAACCCTACGAGCCTCAATCCCGCCCCCCTCTCGCTGCGGAGCTTCTAAGAACGTATTGTGCCTCTCGTGGTTACGTTGCTTCCAGTGGACTCCCCGACGAAACAAGAGCAGCCAGGCAGATTCTGAAGGATTACATCGACGGGAAGCTGCCTCATTTCGCGATGCCACCAGGGAACAAACCCGAGGTGGAGGACACCCGAGGATCTGAAACTGATGACGGGTCAGAGCCCGAGGATTCTGCGGGGGATGAGGACGAGGCAGCGGAGCAGCAACAGCCTCAGGTTCTGGACAACGTTCTCGATGATCTGAGCTCGTTCGATCTTGCAAACGGGCTGGCTTCATCGAAGAAGGTGAGCGTGAAGAAGAAGCCCGAGTCGCATAAGCAGCACAAGAAGCCGCAGAGGAAGAAAGATCGGACGTGGAGGGCCGGGAACGTCGGAGAAGATGGAGATGGAATGCCGGTGGTTAGGGTTTTCCAGAAACCGGCGAACACAGGGCCTTTGAAGATGCGTTGATTCAGTAATCTCTCTTTGGTACGTTTGTTTGAAGACTTGAAGTTGTGTAATGATACAGTGGCTGGCGGATGCAAGTGAAGGTACAATTAATTAATGTTCTGCCAAAAAATGATTTGATTAATATGCTCTGAAACTATAATATATATGTTCAAGTTTGCCCAATTCTTGATCCTGGGAACAATATCTTCATGTTTAATTTTTTTTTTTTGTTTCATCTCATATAATGTGCTTTGTTTAGATTTTTTTTAATTGTTATCTGAATTTCTGAAAGCCTCGGAAAAGATAGAGAGAAAGTGGCGACAAATCCATATGTGGCGAAGCTGGTTTTGCCACGTGGTGATGTCCGAAATTCTCACACGTCATCCGGACATTGTCCCATGAATATGAAGAGTAAGTGTCTCGTTTGCTTCTCTGTTTTCGCTCCTTTTGTTCTTCTTCTCGTCTGTGATTCAACTTTATTATGTGCGTTGTTTATTAATGGATTTTCATTTCTTGCAACTAATCATATCATATATGTACTGGTGATCGTCAAAAGAAAAGGCAATTTCGGGCAAATTAATTAATTGAATCACAACCAAAAACCGCTAAACATTTAATTTCATCTCCGACCAAAAATAACAATAATAATTAAACTCACGAAATATGATATATATAAATATGTATATCAATTTCTTCTTTTTTTCATGTTAAAAAAGTATTTAATTCATAAATGGAAATAAATTGTATTTTTTACTTCATTTAAAATATATATTTGAATGTTTATATACATAAATATATATAGTCTTTTCACCTATATAGTTACTGATTATAATAAATTACAGAAGTATCAGATATAGACTTGTTTTCCTCTGAAAATGGAAAATGTGTTTATTTGTATCTTGATATTTATGGATGTACGAGAATATTTTGAAAAAATATATCTCTATCTTTAACCCTAATTTTCTTATATTTGATTATACGAAAACCGGTTCATTAAGGGCAAAAAATGTTCATTTTTTAAGCAAAGAAGAAATAAATGTTCATTTTGGTCACATTGGGGAGAACATATGTAATGTAACACAGAAAGACTTCAGGGATCAATTAATGAAGCACATAATTATTACTAATGGAAGCCAATAATTATAAACAATTAAAATAAATATCTACAGCTGCAGATAAAGGGAGAGATAAAAGGAATATATAGATACATGTATAGATATAGTGAGAGAAGGTGGAGGTTTTGTTTGTTCGGCCTTGAGTTCGTCTCTGTCCTCTCTTTCCCCTCATTCCTCTCCAGGGTTATGAAGCTTAGAGAGAGGAGAGAGAAAACTCCGTAAACACAAACACACCAACAAAAACCTAAAACGGGAAACCAATTTTTCTCTCTCGATTTCCCTGAATCTGTACTTCGAATCATTTTCCCGGAAAACCATCGGATACCTCTTCCTGTTCGGAGAAATTCCTAGGATCTGATAGAAGAGGAGGAGGAGCTAGGGTTTCTGTTTCTCTGGTCTTTTGATTTCGAGAAGCGGGAACTGGATTCAAAGAATGTTGATCAGAGAAGCGGTTTTGTGCGAATTCTAGTTGGATCGATCTCAGTTAGGTTTTAATTTCGTGCGTGAGCTTGGATAATGGATGTCGATTCGTCTATGGTGCCGGAGAACGATCATGATCCGGCGGTTCAGAACCCAGGCGGAGGTCAATCCCCCTCGCCGATGGAGAGGGAGGCGCCACAGCAGATGAGCGAGCAATCTCTGCCGGGAGCCGGATCCGCGCCGGCGTCTTCATCTCCTGACTCGGCGGCGAGTCCGCCGGCGCAACAGCAGGCGGCGGCGCAATCACAGCCAGTTGCGGTGGCTGGTCCGAGATGTGCGCCGACCTATTCGGTGGTGAACGCTATAATAGAAAACAAGGAGGACGGTCCTGGTCCTAGGTGTGGTCACACGTTGACGGCGGTGCCTGCCGTTGGTGAGGAGGGCACGCCTGGTTACATAGGGCCTCGTCTCATCTTGTTCGGTGGTGCGACGGCTCTCGAGGGCAATTCTGGGGGAACCGGGACGCCATCTTCAGCTGGAAGTGCGGGCATTCGTACGTTTGTCCTATATTTCCCCAAGCTTATTGATTATTTTTGCTTATGTCTACGTTCCATTTGCTTTAGTGCATTTCGCTTAGAAATTAAGCGATCCTCTGCATCCTTGTTCTGAAGTGTTGTCTCCTGTACGTTGGTGGGCTTCCACGTTTCTGTTGGTTCAGTACTTTGCTATATTGTTTTCCAAGCATTTAATGTTCAAAATCAAGCCCTTTGCTGAGCTCTATGCTTTTGAAGGTCACGCTGATACACCTATCTGTACTGTTATTATCTTTGCTTGGAAACTTTGATTTTGTTCTCTAATTTCCTCTAGTGCTGTTAATTCTTGTAAATGTTGTGGTACAACGTTTACTGTTATCACAAGCTTTTGTATTTTGAATTTCCCGGTCCTTTTATTGTCAACTTTAAAACACAACTGGGTTCCCTTTACCTACTTTTGTGGACTCGAGAAATTAATATTGGCATGTGAATACCTATGTTTTTGTTAACTGGCAAAGTCATGGTGTAATTGGTAGCCTGTGGAGTTCTTCTGTCTTGTTGTGCATTTCTTTTTTTTGTTTTCAATCAAGCTATGTGTTTCTGAACTTCTGTCAGTTGGTAACTTTTTCCATGTGGGATAGGTAGATTCATGAAGTTGATGTAACAGTCTGAAGTAGCTTGGCTGTGAGAAATAGCTAACATCTGCCTAGTCCTTGGATAGCAAATTCAATCAATTCATTGTACATTCCATTTATTAGGCCTACTTATTTCAAAGCACTTTTAGACTATTCCTCTAGTATTCGATAATCAGGATGTCATTTGCTCTGCAGGACTAGCTGGTGCAACTGCTGACGTTCATTGTTATGATGTCCTCTCAAATAAGTGGACAAGGTAAGCATAAAATGTTGATTTTCTGCCTGGGATTTTGACCTTTTAAGTATGTCCTGATAAATTAAAATCGTGCAAGATCTATTTGTTCTTCTTTTTATATATCAAATCTATGAAGCTTAGTTGCTATAATGAAATGTTGCTGCAGGCTGACACCCTATGGTGAGCCACCTACCCCGAGAGCTGCACATGTTGCAACTGCTGTTGGGACTATGGTAGTTATTCAGGTAGGGGTGAACTTTTCTGTTTGTTATGTAAATGGATGCATTTACCGACTACAAGCCACAGTTGTCTGTTAGCCATGAAACCATTGCTGAATTCTCTACGTGACTCAGGGTGGAATTGGTCCTGCTGGTTTGTCGGCTGAGGATCTTCATGTTCTTGATCTCACTCAACAACGGCCACGTTGGCATAGGTTTGGAGATGGAAGGCCCTGCATGTGGCTAGCTTGGTTTGAATTTGATAGTGGTGGGTTTGTGTATTGTTACAGACACTTTGCTTTCTCTGTAGGGTTGTTGTTCAGGGTCCTGGACCAGGACCCCGTTATGGGCATGTCATGGCGCTGGTGGGACAGAGGTATCTCATGGCTATCGGTGGAAATGATGGTAGGCAGTTCTATGTACTGGCTTATTTCAATGCGTAATGTTCTTGGATTATATGCTCCTTGCTAAGCTTTTCTATCTGGATTTGGCTTTGAACCATTAGGGAAACGTCCACTCGCTGATGTATGGGCCTTGGACACTGCTGCAAAGCCTTATGAATGGCGTAAGCTGGAACCTGAAGGGGAAGGTCCTCCTCCATGCATGTAAGCGTGTTTTTTTTACCCCATGCTTTTTGTTCTTTGGTGATGTGCAAAAATATAATTTGGATTTCTACTGTCTGTATGGTGTAACTAGGTATGCCACTGCAAGTGCACGCTCTGATGGTCTTCTTCTCCTTTGTGGTGGAAGGGATGCAAACAGTGTGGTAAGCATTGCATTCTTGTTCCATAACCTGTTTGAAATAGGATATATGGGAACATGTGGCCCGAGTTGGGTTTTTTGGTTGACTTTGTTGGGAAAAAAGACCTGGGGCCATTTGGACAGTCCTGCTTTTAGAGGTTTACGTTTTGATACCAAGAAATTCAAGTAGTATTCTAGTTTTCTCAAAGTGCCAAATTTCTCAATGGTACAACAAATGGACTTTGGTTGGAATAGCTCCTCTCTTCAAATTATAAAAAAAATGAGGTACTGATATAACGTATGCTATGAAGAAGTTATAACCATTGATTTGTGTGCTGGATTTCGTGGAGCTTTAATATGAATGGAAGTTAACGCTTCTTCTACTTTTAGGTTGGAACCAGCTTGGTATAAGTATGCTTCGACATGAATAATCATTTTTAGGAATTTTTCGTCATCAGTTTTGTAGAAAGTGGAGATTGGAAGTCTTGATTGACTACCTTAATCTTTGATATCTAATTGACCTGCTTAGTTTTTTCTTTTCTTCCCTTGGTAGCCTCTTGCAAGTGCATATGGACTTGCCAAGCATAGAGATGGACGTTGGGAGTGGGCCATCGCTCCTGGTGTTTCGCCTTCGGCCAGATATCAGCATGCAGCAGTATGCAATGCTTCTTCTTTTCTTTTTGTTTCTTACTGAAGTTCCATCAGAAAAATCAAATTGTTTGATCAATTATTTTAGGTCTTTGTGAATGCAAGACTCCATGTGTCTGGTGGGGCTCTTGGTGGTGGGCGCATGGTAGAAGATTCTTCAAGCGTTGCAGGTTAGCAAAAAAAATTGTAGATTTTACGTTGTCATGAAGATGCTCATTGAGCTAACAATTAGGTCTCTGTGCTTATACAAGGCCGTTTTAGTTGAAATATCTCGTCCTGAGATGACCTGAAAAGAGGCTATGTTATTATCTGCAGTTTGAGAGGTGGTGTTGATGCCTCTAGGAAACCGTAGAAACATTCATCCTTTGTTACTGAGGCACGATATCTCTTTCTGTGGAGCAGAGCGTATAATCATCCTTGCTTTAAGATTCATCATTTTTCTCTGTGGAATATAGAAATCATACATTGATTTAATTTTTGAAATTTGTTATTTGTATAATTGGAAGGTACATAACGTCATTTCTAACACTTAATTGTATATATAATATATGTATATCTAAAATTCTGACTGTTTCATATTTCATCTCGATACAGTGTTGGATACTGCAGCGGGTGTATGGTGTGACACAAAATCGGTTGTTACTAGTCCTAGAACTGGTAGGTACAGTGCTGATGCAGCTGGTGGTGATGCTTCTGTTGAGCTGACCAGACGTTGTAGGCATGCTGCTGCTGCAGTCGGTGATTTGATTTTTGTTTATGGTGGTCTACGTGGAGGTAAGATATTTGATTTTCAACTTTTTAATGCATCCTTGACTATGAAGAAACCCAGGTTTCTTTCAGTTTCCAGTATGTGAAATCTTAGTAGCAAAAATTTGGGGCTTGGATTTTTCACTATCCATATTGTACTATTTTTGTTTCTGAAATCAATGGTTGCATAACTTATCAAGATATTGTTGATGCCTCAGGGGTGTTACTCGACGACCTATTGGTTTCTGAAGATCTTGCTGCCGCAGAAACAACATCTGCTGCCTCTCATGCTGCTGCTGCGGCAGGGGGCAGATTACCTGGGAGGTATGGTTTCTCTGATGAAAGGACGAGGCAGTTATCTGAGACATCACCTGATGGCGCTGTTGTGCTTGGAAACCCTGTTGCCCCCCCTGTAAATGGGGATATGTATACTGATATAAGCACTGAAAATGCAATGCTTCCTGGAGTTCGGTTAGCTACCTTTCCTGAATCTTAGTTTGTCATTCATAGTGTTGTGGGAGCATCGGATGTATGAATTGATGTCAGTTGTTCAATGAACAAATCGCCAGGAGAACTAACAAGGGTGTGGAGTATCTCGTTGAAGCATCAGCAGCGGAAGCAGAGGCTATCAGTGCTACACTGGCTGCCGCAAAGGCACGGCAGGTCAACGGTGAAGTTGAACTCCCAGATAGGGATCGTGGTGCTGAGGCTACACCTAGTGGGAAACCGACGTCTTCATTAATCAAGCCAGACTCTGCGGCTTCAAACAATGTTCCTCCTGCAGGGGTTCGGCTTCATCATAGAGCTGTAAGTGACACAATTTTGTGGACAAAAATAGTAGTTTGTGGCATGCGTTCTAACATCCTGTTTTGTCTTTTACTAATGTTTCTCACTTAGAATACAGTTCTGATACCCTTCTCTCTCTTTTTGGTAATGATTTGTTTGACCTTGATGTTAGGTGGTGGTTGCCGCAGAAACTGGTGGAGCCTTAGGTGGAATGGTTAGGCAGTTATCAATCGATCAGTTTGAAAATGAGGGACGGCGTGTTAGCTATGGAACACCAGAAAGTGCAACAGCAGCAAGGAAATTATTAGATCGACAGATGTCCATCAACAGTGTCCCTAAGAAGGTAGAGATTTATTTCAACTATGATGTGCTGCAAAAAGTATTCTAGATCCGGATATTTTGATTTGCACTAGCAGCAATTCATTTGTGATTTTTGTGGTAAACTGTCGGCTGCTAGAAACTTTATTATAGGCGAAACCTGGCATTTGTCATTTGCTTGGTGTTCCAGAAATCAGAATGTACTTAAATACCGGAATAATGTTGTATTGTCTATTGGTGACTTGATAGCTCAAATTTATGAGTAATTTTTTTTATTAGATCATGCTTTCTGGTCCATGTGTCTTGAGTGCCTATAGGTTCCACTAGGCGATAACGGTCAGATGCTTATAAAGCTTCCATTTAAGTTGGTTTATTCCCTCTGTCTCTCAAATATATATGTATTAATATGCCATGTCTATTTGGTGACTTCTAATGAAGTGTAGTTTAAATCTATGTCAATAGGTTATAGCTCATCTTTTGAAGCCTCGTGGATGGAAGCCTCCAGTTCGACGACAGTTTTTCTTGGATTGCAATGAAATAGCAGATCTTTGTGATAGCGCTGAACGTATCTTTGCAAGTGAACCAACCGTTTTACAGCTTAGAGCTCCTATCAAGATATTTGGTGATCTCCATGGACAGTTTGGTGATCTTATGCGCCTTTTTGATGAATATGGCTCACCGTCAACAGCTGGAGATATAGCGTAAGTGCATTGCTAAAATTTCAAATATTCTGTGGCTGTAGACGTGTTATTGTTATTCTTACTCTTGACATTGCTATATGAATGGCTATCAGATACATCGATTACCTCTTCTTAGGAGATTATGTCGATCGGGGTCAACACAGCCTAGAAACAATCACACTTTTGCTTGCGTTAAAGGTATTCGTTAGAGTATTCCGTTGTCTTTGTTAGTTGTTTTCTCTATTTCGGTAATTTAATTTCTTCACTGGAAAGGGTTTGATGTCATATTGCCAATACTGCAGGTTGAGTACCTTCATAATGTACATTTAATTCGTGGAAATCATGAAGCCGCGGATATTAATGCCCTTTTCGGCTTCAGGATAGAATGCATCGAGCGGATGGTACTGTGTTTTTTGTTTCTTTTCTGGATCCTGATTCTTCCATTAGGATGTATAATGCAATGATTGGCTGGGCAGGGTGAAAGAGATGGAATCTGGGTGTGGCACCGAATAAACCGTTTATTCAATTGGCTTCCTCTGGCTGCATTGATCGAGAAGAAAATAATCTGTATGCATGGGGGTATTGGTCGGTCCATAAATCATGTGGAGCAGATAGAAAATATTCAGCGTCCTATTACCATGGAAGCAGGCTCCATTGTTCTTATGGACTTATTGTGGTTGGTGCATGTCTGATATGCCAATTCTCCTTTTTTTTCTTTCCCTCGTGTTATTAATTTGATGTTTGTTATTCTTTAGGTCCGATCCAACTGAAAACGACAGCGTGGAAGGACTACGACCCAATGCTAGGGGTCCTGGTTTGGTTACTTTCGGGGTGAGTGATTCTTTATCTTCTCTCTTGGGGTATTTCAAAATTGTCTCCGTTGATTTAATCCCTTTTTCACATGTGATAGTTAATTGTTTCCCTCTCGTAAAACTGCTCTTTTTTTCTCCTTCCATTTCAAGCTTCCTTTGCTACTTTTTCTTGTCTCCGGATTTTGGTTTTGTTAGACACTTAGTCTCAGAATCATATATTGACTTGTATGATTTATATTGTTTCAAACCGAAGAAAAAGAATTCTAATTCGATTTCGACAAGCTTCTGTAGGCATTATGGAGTATTAGTGGTTAGTTCCTGCATTGTGTTCTATGTGTTGAATTAATTTACCAAGAAGTTGGCAATTGCAGCCGGACCGTGTTATGGAGTTCTGCAGCAACAACGATCTTCAGTTGATTGTTCGCGCACATGAATGTGTAATGGATGGATTCGAGCGTTTCGCCCAGGGCCACTTGATAACACTTTTCTCAGCTACAAATTATTGTGGTATTTGCATGGAATCAAAGACCTTTTGTTTACAAACTCCGATACTTTTTGTAAAATGAAAAAACTCTTATATTTTTTTACCAACAGGTACGGCAAACAATGCAGGGGCAATCTTAGTATTGGGGAGAGATCTCGTTGTGGTCCCTAAACTGATTCATCCGTTACCTCCAGCGATGTCATCCCCTGAAGCTTCACCAGAAAGACATATAGAAGACACATGGATGCAGGTTCGTATCGCGTTAGGACAAATCTCGTCTTCTCGTTGATCAGCGATTAAAAGTTTCTTTTTTCGGGACATGTTTTTGATTTCATAGGAACTGAACGCTAATAGACCACCAACACCGACCAGAGGACGTCCACAAGCCCCCAACGACCGAGGCTCACTCGCTTGGATATAATGACCACACTCTCTCCTGCTGCGTACATAGACATACTTCTCCCAAAAAAAAACTCCTCCTGAAGGCCGATTTCCCGGCAATGGCTGATGTTGTGTACAGAGCTGAAAACAAGAAAAAAACCTCCTTCCGAGACCCGCGAATTGCTGTTCTTCGATGTAAGTCTTTCTATCCACAGGTTGAAATTGATGATTAATGACGAGACCTGGGAATCGAAATCGTCACTGTGGATGCATAGGTGTGTGTGTGTGTAAATTGAGTGCAAAAAAAAAAAGGTCGATATGAAAAAGGGTATGGGAAAGCAAGAAAAAACTCAGTTTTGGTGGTGAAGGGGAGAGTTTCTTCAGACGCGGGTGAGGTTTTAGTTTGCTGGTTTAGTCTTCTTTTATATCAATTTCCCATTCAGCCGGTTCTCTTTTTTCTTTTGTTTCTTCTTCTTCTTCTTTACTTTTTGGCCTTTTGGTGAGTGGCACGAGAGCACTTAGAGATGGTGGCAGCAGAGTGACATATATGATTATTATTATTATTATATATATATGATTATGGTAATGATATATTTAGTCAGCACTAGTTTTAGCGTTTGTGTTGCGGTGTATCATAGAGGGTGTTTGGGCTTTATGTGTAACTCTCTCTACCACCCACTTGATTCAGTTTGTGCCATTTGCAACCGGTGTGTGTGTTGAACCATTTGAAACCGGTTTGTGTGTTGGTGATAACAAAATTGTTTGTTTGCTTTTTCCTTCCTTCTGCGGGCTCCCTCCTTTTGATGATAAGAACCCTCTGTCTTATTTTCTTAGCCATGGTAGTCCTGATGGTTTTATTTCACTCTATTTGGATCGGTCAGTGCCATCATCTTTGCTTTTAGTTGATCGAGAATCGAGATTGGACGATTTTAGATTTGTCATCATCAGTGTCATAATCTATGATGTACGATTATCATCCCTCTTGTTACAGCTGCCGTGAATTGTGCTAACAAGATCTGAAATTCTTTAAGATTAGTAGTGTGTGTATATATATATATATATATATAAGTACAAATATATCATGCCATTGATCCTCGGTCGGAAACAAAATTGTTTTCCCTCTGCTTCTGCTTCAGCTAACATAACATCTTTTGGTTTATATTTCTTCTGGTCTTCATTCATCTTTCTTACTCGATGTCTTCTCGCCCTCTTCTCGTGATTGATCTGTCGTCTTCGATTCATCAAACGCCATCAACTGCAGATCGCGAAAGTCAAATCACCATCATCATATCAGAACATTCTCATGACCGGATGTGCGGTCAGAAATGGACAAAAGAGTGCCAAAGTCTACGGATATCATATCATGTTTCCGGCATCAACGCCAGGAACAAAGCAAGGCACGGAAAGTGAATGAGGTCATGAGAACGAACCGGTTTGATGTCACCATTCCAAATGCAGTGGACGGCCAAGAATCCGACAACTGCTGGAACGATGTATAACAGAGCAGGCTGCAAGAAACATGGGCAAAGCCCACACAATAAATGATACAGCTGGTTCGTCTTAATATGAATTTATAAAGCAAGGTAAGGAAATAAGATTACTCCTTCCCCAGAGTTCTTTTCTATTAGCTAATTTTAATGGACTATCTTACCAATCCGGCCATTTCTCATTTTAATGTGACAAATCCTTTTCGAACACAAGATCATAAGGAGTACTGACTGACCTGTGCAGCTTGGAACCAGTTCATTACTATAATTGTGAGTATCACACCAACACTGTATCCAGCAAAAGCACTTGTAAAGTACTGGGGTTGTTTGCCTCTTGACACGTCAAACCTAAGCGCCAGTGCAACAAAAATACCTGAAGGAACAAACAGAAGACTGGAAGTCAGATCCAATCAACGTTATGATATACCAGATTTTCTCATAAAATCATGCATAAGGATTTAAAGTACTACATCAAAGAAATCTAAATATGTGAAACGAAACAATAAAACATTGAGGAAAAGAAGAGAACGCATACTCAAAACTAAGCGGGAAAAGTAATGAACATTGGCGACAACAAAGAGTTTACAATATTTTGCCCAAGAGATGTGGTCCGATTTCAACTCAATCTTACCTTCTTCTCCAGAAACACTAATAAAACTTAAAGAAACCGGCAGTAGAAAAGAATTACACATATTTAGATGAGAAACAACTATCCATTACTTTAGCAATGAACAAAACAAGACCACGTGAATTTTGTACGAACACAAGAACTTACCAGGAATGACAATGTCCCCGAGCCCAAGCATAGAATAGGGTCTAGCAGCAACAGCCGTAGGAAAGAGAAGCTGAAGCAAACAAAATGTTCCCACAATGAGCACTGTTAAAATTACCCAACAAAAACATTGATAAGGAATCAAGTAAGCAGAGATGCATTAATCTCCTTAATTAGTGGTCATTACTAACCTTTATGGGAGCATCAAAGGATTTTGCAACACTAACCATAACCGGAGTAAAGAAAACCCAGAAAATATCATAGACAAAAAGTCCTGCCTGCAGTCAATGACAGAAAATGATGAACATAACCAATAGAAACATCTACAAAAGCTCCAAACCTAGGTCTCACTAGGAGACACAAGTAAGAGATTTGAGAGGGCAATTCAAAATAGGCAGAACAGAATTCCTTCTCACCAAGAGGATGGCACCAGTCTTAAAAGATCCAAGAGAGAGCATCTCAATTCCCTGAAATGGCTTAACAATTAATAACAAGTACCACTATAAAGGTATTATGCAAAATTTTAAAAATAACTCCACATATGAATTTGCTTTCAGAATTCAGATGAAAGCAAAATCCCGCCAATCTCTTTCAAAACCAAAGCTACATTCTCTCATGGAATTAGGTAGCTGTATTAGAAGTTTCAGGTAGCAGGCAACAAACACAGGTAAAAAGATACTAGTTATTACCCCCATTTTTCTCCAATTCATAAGTGTAATTATACTGTCAGGTTGAACGCAAACCAACCTGGATGCAGAATGAGAGTCCAAGTATGTTGTTAGCCAGCCAATGCTTTTTCCAAGCATACCATGCACAGAAAAAGGTTCCGGGGATTGCAGCATAAACCTGTGACTTAGTGAACTCTATCTCCAAAGCTGTTTAAGAAAGGCGTCAAGAAAATAATTATTCTGCATGACACAAGCAAGATCATCACATGGATCAAACATTAACTGAATAAAGTAGAAACGAGACAAACTAACACAAATGATGCTTAAAAAAAGACCTGAGACCCACCAAAATAGCAGTTAAATGCCACTGTGAATCTACAAAGAGGGAAGTGCGACGAAAATAGGAAACCACAAAATCACAGCAAATATTGCAGCTATTTAAACAAAGGCCAAAATCTTAAAAGAACAAAATAATCAATACGGAATTAAAGAGAAATGGCTGTGAACAAAAAGTGAGTAGAAGAAGTGAGCAGAGATAATAACATACACCGAAAGTACGGAAATTTCCAGACAATAGCATTGTCATTCCAAGGCTGTGGCAAAAACCTTTTGATAGATGGTAACAGTGTTGCCCTGAAAAGCACATAATATATATTAGGCACATGATAAAGCCATAATAACAGCCCCTTGACATGATCACATGTAACTAAAACCAGAAATGGGAATAGACACATAATTTAAAAAAAAAGACATACGAAAGAGCTACGATCCCAAGCACAAAGAAGTAGGCTGTGAGGACTGTGTTGACCAGATCCTTCGAGAGAAACTTGAACAAAAGGAAAAGGGATAACAGCACCGCACTTCCAACAAACGGAAAGCGCATCGCATGTTTGTTAGACATAGTCTCCTGCATATTACCAGGCATCAAGCATTCAAGCAAAGTTCCTTGCATTTGTGTAATAAAAAGTTTTAAGTATACAATAACCAAAATCTGGCCTGATGTCTTACCATAGGAGGACTCGACTTCACAGACCGATAGCAACCCACATAAACTGCGAGGCATGCCGTCAGAATTACGTTCAAATTCGGATCTACTTTGACAACAAGCGGTGCCAATGTCAAAACTGCAGCACAAACAGCATCGTTACTAAAGCATTCGCCGATTTCAACACTATTATCAATTTAACCATTTTCGGATAAGTGAATCACATCTTCAAACCAGTTAATTTCCCGGAGAGATGGAGTTGGAGGTTCATAATGCGATGATTTCCAGGGAATCATTGATAAGAGGACAACCAGCATGATCGGACAAAAACCTAAATCCTAGAAGAACCCAACTATTCCGGGACCCTATCAACGAGCCAGAACAAAACCCTTGAAGAAGATCGGAA